TTAGTTTCCATCCGTTGCTTCTCGTCCTGCCTTCACTTATGAGGAATGCATAATTTTCTTTTTTTCTGGCTGGTTTGGTCTACTCTAGGCTAGAAAGTGGGAGAGCATGAGTTCTAATCCCGCCTGGATGACTTTGGGCCAATCAGCAAGAGATTGTGAGTTTTAGTCCCACCTAAAGCATGAAAGCTGGCTGGATGATTAGGGCCAATCACCAGGAGACGGGGAGTTCTAGTCCTGCCTTAAGCATGAAAGCTGGCTGGATGAATAAGAGCCAATCACCAGGAGACTGGGAGTTCTAGTCCCGCCTTAGGCATGAAAGGCAGCTGGGTGACTTTGGGCCAATCACCAGGAGATTGTGAGTTCTAGTCAGTGGTGGGATTCAAATATGGGAACAACCAGTTCTCTGTGTGGATGCCACTTCCGGAAGTCCATTCTGTTGCCTGGGCAACACAAAATTAGCTACCGGTTCTGCTGAAGTGGTGCGAACCGGCTGAATCCCACCACTGGTTCTAGTCCTGCCTTCAGCATGAAAGCCAGCTGGATAACTTTGAGCCAATCAGAAGAGAAAGAAAAAGAATAAAGAAAGTAAAGATTATAAAATGTCTTCTGATCATCTTCACAGTAGTTATAAATGCATTTTTATTTTATCTATTCCCTTTAAAATGATGTCATAGTTTCCTTCTTATAATCTACCCTTTCTAATCACCAAATCCATAAACCACAAGTTCATTTTATTATTATTTTTTTCGGCAGAAAGTCCATAAGGGGTTTCCGGGCATTAATAAATGTAATCATTGATCTTTCTCTAAGCAAACAAATTACTTTTTGCCATCTCTGTTAGTTAGGTCATCTTCACCAGTCATGCCTCCACTGCAAGGTCTTATGTTTTGATTTCTGGGCAAGACTGCCAATCTTATTATGTTAGCAATCCCAGTTTACTGATATTTTTAAATCTCCCACAAGCTAAGTTATTTTTGAAATGACTGTAATTCTTCTTGATTGCTGATCTTAGGCTGATCTATGATCAAAATAAAGATTAGACTTGACTAGCAGGTCTGTTTAGTTTGTGCGGCCACAAAATCCTTGGCAGGGTGGAGATTGTCTACTCTGACAATGTCTTGGTTGCAAGAAGCCGCAACTACAGTGTCTCTGACACATGACAGCCCCCTCTATTTAAACCCCTTTAGTGAAGGAGAGTCCATGAACTCTCAACGCAAATTATTCTATTGTTGAGCAGGTCTTACCATTAGGACATTTTTCCTGAAGTTCAGCCAAGATAATATTACTTCGTAATTTAAACCCTTTGTTTCTTGTCCTATCTTCTGGAACAACTCTGAACGATTCTACCCCTATCTTTATGTGGAAGAAAAGTTCGTGCAACATGTTGAACTTGGAAGTGGAATTAATTCCTTCTCTGAATTTGCACAATGGAGACGCAATCCAGTATCTCAGGAAGGCAGAAATTTAGGGAAGTTGAATGTGTTTGTTTTGCGACTCCCTCCCAAGGATGATAGTTATCAAATCTGAAATTTGGGTTGGGATGGGTTGGGCATCCATATTTCTCCAGATTATTAATTTCTTCATCAAAGATTAACTACTTATGGCTGCGTGTGTCACCTACCTTGGTGAACTCAACACAGTGTTCATTCCTCAACTGCGTAGATGGCTTTCCCAAAAGTTTTAACCACATTTAGCTTGATGACAAAATTAGCCCATTATTCTAGGTTACACTATAGGTTGAATTATAAACCACCCAAATACAGTCACACAACCCACAAAGAATACTAACCAGGCTTAGTGAAAAATGAAACTTGTAAAACCAAACTCTGTACATTTGCAACTAGGTTTGCTAAGTATGGTGTGTGAACACCAATCCTGAGAAACTCTTTAAAACAAAAAATCCTTTGTAACAAATCCACCTTATATTTATGCCAACAAATGGACTCAAGCTTCTTGGGAGGAGAATGGTCCTTCCATAGATGTAATTTTGAAGATTCTGCTCTAGTTGGTTTGCTGTGTGGGACACGCATCTGTCGAAATTTTAACATGGAATCTGGAAAAAATATCCAGCACGGCATCTTCAGCATGGAATGAACATCTGAGCCTTGAACCTTTTATTTGGTAATTGTTCATGGCCATTTCCCAGTTGCAATGTATGGCTGTGAAAGTTGGACCATAAGAAAGGCTGAGCGCCAAAGAATTGGGGCCTTTGAACTCTGGTGCTGGAGAAGACTCCTGCGAGTCCCCTGGACTGCAAGGCATTCAAACCGGTCAGTCCTAGGGGAGATCTACCCTGACTGCTCTTTAGAAGGCCAGATCCTAAAGTTGAAACTCAAATACTTTGGCCACCTAATGAGAAGGAAGGACTCACTGGAGAAGAGCCTAATTCTGGGAAAGATTGAGGGCAAGAGAAGAATGGGACGACAGAGAATGAGGTAGCTGGATGGAGTCACTGAAGCAGTAGGCGTGAGCTTAAATGGACTCCAGAAGATGGTAGAGGACAGGAAGGCCTGAAGGAACATTGTCCATGGGGTCGCGATGGGTCGAACACGACTTCGCAACTAACAACAACAAAGATTATCATCTGCAGATCAGTGGCGAAGAACCCCCGTGAGATGAGTGGGCAGTTTATGTCCCTGGGCTTCATTTCAGAAGTTAGTTTGAAAGGGCTTAAGACGGGTCCCTAGAACCATCAGCTATGAGTCCAGGAACCACATGGAGGGGAGGAAAGGCTGTCAAAAAGAGACATCTGTGTGAGAAGAAGAAGAAGAAAAAAAAAAGATGTCTCCTTTCTCTTCACATTCCACCATTGGATGTACTATCTGGCAGATTTCCCTTGGGGAAATAATATAGTAATAATACAGTAAAAGGATTATCCACCCTTGTTCCACAATAACATTGGTTTTCCTGGGCACCCTGCCTTGTAACGCAGGGTGTGTTCAGACATGTGCAAATTGTGATAAATTGGGCCTTTCCCCCGTCTTCTGTGGCTTCCTCTTTGCATCATAATGTTCTGATCAGTGCATCAAAGGCCGATCTGTTTTGTCGCTTTCTTCACTAACGTTGCAATTATTAAGCCGCATTCTTCCACACCCTGGAAAAAAAA